TTTATTTGAAAGCTGCATAAGTGAAAATTAGAAATTGGGGACTTAGTTTTCCTAAGAGCAAATTCCATCAGTATTTTCAGACGTACTTTTCTGCTGCCTGGCCTGAAGTGGTCCAAATATTGCACTGATAGGAACAGTCTTCCACCACTGATTCAAGTAAGGGCATTGCATTGAAATGCTTGTAGTGTGTCCATAATTAGTGTGTGAGGGTAGACAAGAAATAAATCCTGTTGTGAACAGTTTACATTTTTAATGCATTTTTGAAGGTCAGGAAGAGCAGCTTCCTATTAACCTGCTGTTTCATTTCTCTGAGGATGGTTTTTATTTTGAGCCTGGCTGGTTACCTTGACAATCCTATTGGACCATACCATGGGGGGCAGAGGGTGGTTGTTTTGAAGCTCACTTGGAGTTTAGAATACAGGGGGCTAAAGTCATAAAACTGCTTTTGCTCGCTAGTGATGGAGTACCAGGACCTGAAACGATTTTGGCATTATGCAAGTCCAAGAAAGGAATTGTTCTGTAAAACTACACCACTGGTACAGTAATGCTTGGAAGCCTGTTGAGATCAGGCCCTATGGTGCTAGGTGCTGTACAAAACCATGTCAGGGAGGGGCTGTTTCCTGCTAGGCATAAATTCTAAAGAGACTTACACACAGTGGAGGCCAGGGTGGGAGAAAGGCAGAGTTACCCTTCTCTTACAGATGGGTACAGGAGAGCAAATGGACTTGCAGGTCAGCGCTGTGCTCCCAGAAGGGGCGGGGCCTTGGGCAGAAGAGGAGGGGATGGGGCATCCAGCCCTCAACATCCTCTGCCTGGGGCATGCCATGTGGGTTTAAAGGGCTGAGCCCTTTTGAATCACTGGGCCCTGGGGCAACTTCCCCGTTTGCCCTTCTTGTCAGTGGGCCTGGATGGGGTTTTGAGGTCCAGAGAGACTGAATGATTTGTCCAGAATCACGCACAGTCTGTGGTAAAGCTGAGTATTGACCCCACTCTAGTGCCTTCACAACAGGTGTTACCTTTTCCACTCCCACCCTGCACTGCCCTCAGTCCTAGGCCAAAAGGATGTAGCACCAAATCTTAATACATTGCCATGCTGGGTAGTTGCTTGGTTAAAGCTCTCTGTCTGGATTCCTTTTTCTACTCTGTTAGGAACTTCTTCTAATACCCTGTGTGCTGTGTCTTGTTCTTTGTCCCTTTCTTAATGATTCCTAACATTGTGCAGCAGCAGTCAAAAAAGTAAACATTGAGTAGATTTTCAGTGTAAACATTTGGAGGCTCTTTACTGAGCCTCTCTGGTGATATGAGCCACATCAGTTCCTAGACAAACAATGAACATGGTGACCTTTTGTCACAAATGGAGCATTGTTGTGAAAATGCAGGTGTGTGGGAAAAGGTCAGCAAAAAGCTTTCAGGTTAGGATACCAGACAAACCTAGGCTCACTGAAAGACAATGTTGACCAATGGAACCAATTTAGTGTTTCTGTACGTTCAACCCATGACTCTCCTACGTGAATGTTACAGGGAGATGTTCAAAGGCACAAATGGGAGGTGTAGGCTGGCCTCGCTATAAGTCCAAGATACGTTCAAAAAAACTTGGACTTATAGCAAAACAACTTAAAGCGTGGAATTTTTTTCCCCTACGGCTGATTTCCATTTGCGCAAATTGGTTGGGTCTGGGGTTTTTTGTTCATCTTAAGAGTGGGGAATAGGAGGACTTATAACACCCTGTAAGCAACCTGGGAAGCAAACCTCCCCTTCTTATAAAGCAGTATCTTTAAAGATGATGGGTGAAATCCTTGCCCCATTGAAGTCATGGGAGTTTCCCAATGGAATTCAACAGAGCCAAGATTTTAACTTAGTTACCCTTTACCAAATGCTGCTGCCCACCATGTGAACAGTCTAGTGCTTACTCTGAAGATGGTGCTGAGGAGTCCAGGTAATGGCACAGGAAGCATTCTTCTGTCATGCTACTTGTTTGAATTCAGAATAGTAATAGAAATGTAGCCGTGTTATCTCTCTGGAGCCTGCATAGGCAGAACTGAGAACATTAGGAGCTATAGCAATGTTAAAAATTTTTGATCATAGTCTTCACAGTATACGTGTATGAAACAGTGACTGTGGGCATTTATTTGCGCAAGTGCTGCTACAAAAAAGCTGTGCTTGCAAGATGATGCATCTGATCTTTGTGACTCTGGATTGCAGTATAGTTAGAGGTAGGCCCAAGAAGACAAAGTAGGAAGCATTAATTCCAATGGAGAGGTGGCTTTCAAAGTCTCCAGAGTAAATCATAACTCTTAAATGAAAGAGCTGCTCTTGCAAGCAACAATAAATACTTTAGCGTGGTTCAGCATGGTGGAAATTCACTGCTGTTTCATTTGTACACCTAAGATTGTCTGGATCTCAGCCTAGCTACATTGTGTGGGAGCCATCCTACAAGACACATGATGGCATAGTTATGACAGCATTCATAAAGACCTTTTTCATAGGATTTTGCCAGGATGAAGTGATCAGAAGAACGGCATTGTTGCAGAGTAATGATGGATGTTGTTCTGAATGTGACATGCCACTTGGCTGACTAAGAGGCCAAAAAGGGTGTTGGTTTCTGAGAGTCATGCTTCTGTTGGGGGGGAGGGGGAAGAGAGAGAAGTAATCCAGTGGAACTGGAAATGTAACCAGAGCTCCCTACTTCCCACTCGTTTTGCCCTTGAGGAATCAAACTGAGAATGCAAATTCTTCCGGCTAGGGCCTGTCTCATTCTATGTTTGTATGGGGTTAGCATGGTAGGGTCCCATTTTCTATGGCCCCCTGGGCTCTGCTGTAACACAGGTGATAGTGACTGAGACGTGTTAGCACTAAATATGAGCCCAATGTACTGAGAAATTGTTACCGCTGTACAGAATATGTAATTATTGCCTATGACTGGGGCACGTGTAGGAGAGAAAGACAGTGGATCAGAAAAGTATGTGGTACTACACGTGTATCATCCTGCTATTAAATATGTTTAAGCAGAGAGAGGAGACAGGCAGGTAGAGTGGGGAAGTGACTCATGCTGCTAGTGAGGGCTGTCTTTAGGATGCTTTATCTTCACGTTAATGTTTGGGGTTGAAAAAAGGTTGGGTGGAAGGGTTAGTTTCCTTAAGCCTTGCATTTAGGACAATTGTTTATCAGCCAGATGCTGTGGAACTGAAATCTGGGATGGCTTGAAAGCTCTTGTACGTGGTTTTTATTCCTATAAGCCTGTTTTCCTCCCTTGGAATATACATCTTTTTGAATGACCACGAATAAAATTAAATTAGAGCCAGAGGCTCTCTGTGGTTTGAAGTGCAATTTCATTCTGAAATGTGACTAAAAAGGGTACCTACCTGTTCACTCCCCAGATGTGTTCCTTGAATGTAATCAGGCTTGCATCTGTTCACATGCTCGACAAATGAGCCAGCCCTGTGGAGCTAAGAGATGGAACTGGATTCCATTCCCCTTACACATCTTAGGAAACAAAAATTATTCCCTTCAAGCCCCTGAACGTAATGAGTTGCACAGAGTTTACTGAAGAGGTAATAATTTGGAATGCAGAATCTGATTAGTAGTGATGTGTGATAATACTAGTAATAGAAAACCCAGACTGAGTTTATAGGACTGGTAGTTATGTAATGTCCACACTGACAGAGGCCATCTGATCTGTAAGTCACTAAGATGGATATGATACCCCTCTATTCCATGTGTGTTAAAGTCATCATCTAGATTAAAACTCTGTTTTAAGATGCACATAGTTGGTGGAACTCCTTTGTCCTGCAAAGTGGTTAAAGATTTTCCTGATCATAGACTTCCTCGCAATTGTCACAGGCAGTCCCCGGGTTACGTACAAGATAGGGACTGTAGGTTTGTTCTTAAGTTGAATTTGTATGTAAGTCGGAACTGGTACATATTGTACCCCGGGTGTCCCCGATTCAGCCGCTGCTGAAACTGACCAGCAGCTGACTACAGGAAGCCTGAGGCAGAGCTGCTTTGCCCCGGGTTTCCTGGAATCAGCCGCTGATCAGTTTCAGCAGCAGCTGACTTGGGGACACCTGGGGTAGAGCAGCTGGGTTGCTGCCAGGTTGGTCCCCGCAGCGCCGAGATGCGGCGCTGTGGGGACCAACCCGGCAGCACCCCAGCTGCTCTGTCCCAGGTGTCCTGATTCAGCTGCTGCTGGAACTGATGAGCGGCGAGAAAAGCCTGGGCTGCTGGGGGGGGGGGCGCGC